TGCTGTCTTTCAGAGATACCTGTTGCCATTCATTGTTCAATGGAAGTGAAGCAAATAACCTTTCAGAAAGATGGTAGATCACTTTGCAAAGATTGTATCTCTAGTCTCTCTACAAAAGTCTGAAAGGAAATCAGTCTGAAATAAGTCTGTTTACTGATTGAGTTCTGTAGTGGAAGAGGAAAAGGAAACTTTTTCCTTCTCGGTGAACATTAACAAAGATTACAGTATGCTGGAAAGTAACTCATGTTTTTTCGGTCAGTTCTAAATAGAAGACAAGTTTTAAGTGTCTGTTCAAGATTAGGTAGGCTCAGAAATCTTGAAGGGTAAATGTAGTTGTAAACTGGGACAGGAGGGGACAGAAGAGGGTTATTCTGTGTAGACTACCAGTGCTGGGCCAGGATGTGTATCCGTGCCTTATGATCCTGCTGAGAAAGTGGAAGACCGTGTCAGGCGGAGAGGGGCTAGGTGTGGGAACAGTATCCAGCTATACATACACATGCACGAAAAATGCCAGTTAGGAAGATGTGCAGAAGAATTATATATTGGTGTTAAATTGGTTAATGCATACCTCCAAAAACTATTGGTTTATTAAATAACATTTCTCTCTTTCTTTCTTTTTTTGTTACTAATTGCATATTGTTTTTTAAGCTAATCTTGATTTTTGTCTTAGCCAGTTAAAGTGCCGTTGAAACCAATATAATACTTATCCCTTCTACTTCTTTTTGGGCTGTGAAGGTTATGTCCAAGCATCAAAACAAGACAAGAAGTTTATGGCTTGTGCTCCAGATTACTCCTACGCTGCTCTTTGTGAGTGCTTGCGACGAGTTTTCATCTATCGTCAGCCGACTCCTCTGTCCACAGTGCTCTACAACAGGAAGGAAGGAAGACAAGTAGGACAGGTTGCTAAGCAGCTGGTAGCAACCCTGGAAGCCAATGATCCTATCTTAGGCTTTCAAGCTACAAGTGAGAGATTATTTGTTCTCACAACAAAAACCTTGTTTTTAATAAAGGTGAACTCTGGAAATTAATTATTCAGTATATTCTGCTGTAGTTTGTGTTAACAATTTGTTAAAGAACTGGCTAGGTAAATGATCTGAGAATTTCGGTACAATTTGCCGAAGTTTAAAAAGGAGATATTTTACAGGGGACTCAAAATTTTTCATCAGAATTTGTCTGTAAGATAATGAGAAAGTTTTTCAACTTTGCTGTCACTGAAGTAATCTTTTTCAGAGCTATGGGAAAATGTCTTCTGCCCTAGCGTCTTTCTCAAAGCAATTGTCAGAGGCTGCTGTTGCATAGGTGAATAGATTTATTCATTGTTTTTTTCCAGATGACTGTGTTTGCCATACTTCTGAGTGTTGAAAATTCACTTCTGTTTTTAAGTGCCACTGTTAACCTATGAAAGAAGTAGTCAGATAAAGAAAATAAAGCCTTGAGTTACAAACATATGATATGCAAAGTAAGGAAGTGTGTATCATAAAGAAAAAAAAATCCCAAATTCAAATACTATTGGCCAAAAAATTATTTAATATTTCAATATTCAATAGTATTGAGTGAAATGTGAATGGAATGAATGGAGTATTATGTTTTTTGTACAGGCAATTCATTCAAGTGGAATAATTTCATTGTATATGCATGTTTTAGATTATCAATTTGGGACTTACTCCTGCTTGCAGTGAAATCTGTTCACGTTTTAAGAGACACTGGAATGGCTTTTAGTAGCTTTTTCCTGAAGTAAAGTATGGGTTAGTGTATAGCTGGTGATTACATACTGAATAGTACTAGTCAAGGTCTAGTTATACTCTCAGCTGTGTCATTTTCATTTGACATTGTACTTCATCCTCAAGTGACTAATTTACAGTTAGAAAATGGCTAACAGAAAAAGCACCTGTATTGCAGCCTGAGATGGGAAACGCAGAAGTGCTGCTTCTGCCTCAGAGACCACTGTAAATACTGTTATTAGTTAGCCATTCTGTCTGTGATGCACAAGTCCAAATGTGGTGTATTTACAATGTGAGAGTACACAGGCTATGACAAACTGGCATGGTTAATTGTACTGAATAGTTTGATCTGAAGATTTTTCTGTCTTACTTTAAATTGACATTGTCAATACAGTTAAACCAAAAAAGGGTCAGCTGTGACAGCTCCACTCTGGGTTGGGTTTTTTTTCATAGTTTGCTTACAACTCTGTAGCAAATAATGCCAAATATATTGTGTACTGTCAGGAAAGCTGCTGGGATCTGTGGTACCAAAGTACTGAGACCAGACTCAAATACAACAAGGAGGGTAATAGTTTGTATCTCTTCCAATATTATTTCACACCTCTGTAAGAATCTGTTGAGAAGAAGTGTTCCTTTTTTATGGACTAACAGTTTCTTAGTTGTGATTGTTTGACTCTCCTGTAAATTCTCCGTATTTGTATCAGTGAAATGATTAAATAATACAGTGAGAATTTCAGAAGGAGACAAGCAGTTGTGGCTTGCAAAAAAGCCTGCAAGTACAGGAGCTTTTCAAGGAACCTGTTTTTTCTCCTCCTTGTCTGGGTAAGTTAGACTGGATTTGCAAACCTTCCCTTCTCATTCTGTTTTTTTAAAACTGTCTTGAAAATACTTTTTAAAAAGGCTCAGTGAATGTATTACTGTTTCATGACTGTTTTGTGTCTAGATTTTCCTTGTTGGGCGAAATGTCAAACAAGGTGATAGAATTCATACAGAGGCCTTTCAGATATTATTTTTATGTAGTTGATTACTTTGCAGCATAAAGCAAGTGGTTTGAAATTTTTATGAATATTACTTGGTAACCTGAGATTTAATCATTGGGAATGCAATTAAGAACACATTGTGATAGTGGGGAAATGGAGGAATGAGGGATACACAGGCAACGTGCTTTTGTCACCTCAGGTCTACTGCACGAAGCTGCCATGTAGATGAGAATTTCAGCTGTTCTTTGTCAAATTCTGCTTGCTGTGGGTATGCTGGAAACATACTTCTGCTGTCTCCTGCAACAGAGGAAATAGTCAGGTAAACGGTTGCCTCGTCAGAAGCCCTATTACGATATGTAATGACTAAAACTCTCATTCTGCCCAAATGTGTATCTGTTTCAATGGGGTTCTTGTTTGCTCCTGGGAACAACTAAACATGTTACTCATCTATTTGCAGTCATGGTGTTCTCGGAAAGGATGTGTCAGATAGTCTCTCTTCTGTTGTGCTTTCTGAGAGTTAAGCGCATTGTATAATTTAAAAGTTTTCTTGCCTTGAGGACTCTTGCATGCTGTTGCACAGCAAGCTACAATAACTAAATGGCTGCAAGCCTCAGGGAGGCACTTCCTATCAGCATTTCCATTTCTGTGTTCCCTTAATTTTAAGGCTTAGTGTATTAATGTAGGCTTATACAAAGTATAGAATGTGGATATTTAAAAGAGGTGGTTCTCTGAGAACCATACTTCAATTTTTGTAGGATTTTATTTCTTCCAATCTTACATTGTAAGACACAGTACTTCCTGAGAAGTCCCAATCACAGTCTGTTTACAGAATTTCTGATAAAATATTTGGCTATTACAGACTTGCATTATTTATTTCTAATACTCTTTTTCAGTATTTTCCTTGGCTGCATATTTAGAATGTATCATGTATTCTTCTACAAGTTTAATAAATGGAAAAAATGTTAAATTTATTAATAAAGGGCTTTTTAAATTATTTTAAAGTATTTCTGTTAATTTTAAATGTGCATCCTTCTTATGCTACTGAAACAAAATAGAAAAATGGAAATAAGAAATTTCTTAAAATAAGACTTGTTAAGGAGCTTTCTGTTAGGGCAGAGTTTTGAAGGGCGTCTGCACTGCCAAGTCACATCTGTTCATGTCTGTGAAAATCCCTGTACAGTCTTCTTTCCTGTCCCGTATCTGCCGACATACAGATTTATAGAGGTGATTACTGGAGGGGGTGGTTAAGTGTTTAGGTGTATTCTTGTGTTGAAGTGCACATTGCACCATCTCGTCCTGTGTCTTTGCTGTGTACAAGACTCAGATGATCTGGACAAACCCTTCTAGATGGGAGAGAGAGATCTGCGCTTCCCTCCTCTCCCCCTACTTCAGCCCAGGGCTGTTTTTTTGCAGGTGAGTGAAGGAGAAGAGGAAGGATTTGGTCTATGTATGTCCTGTGTCAAAAAGTGGCTCTTCATTAATGAAACAGCAGACCTTGTGAGAGTAACAAATAAGGTTGAAGCTTATCTTCTATTTGTTTGCTGTGCTTCCTTTCAATAATGGACATTATTACCACTATATTTTTTGAGTTTCCTTGCCTTCTGTCAATTTATATTTGCTATTCTCATTATGCAGATTAGATGAACTTGAAGCCTGCAGTCAATCACTCATTAGAATGTAATACCAATTTTTGGTTTGGTTTGAAATTTTGTGCTTCCAGTCCTATGTGCCATTCGTAACAGCTTTCTGGAAATCTGGTGAGATTTGTTTCCCCTCTTCCCCATGCAATGCATTTGCATTTGTGCTATGGATAAAGATCAGCAAGTTCAAAAGACAATTAAGCTGCAGTCTTTGAGGTAGAAGAACCAAGTATCAACCAAGCCTTCTGGTCAAGAGTATTGCAACAATTTCAAACTCAAGGTTTAGTACTATTTTGCTTGGAGAAGTATTTGTTGGAATCAGGGGTTTTTTTCCCTTTAAAAAAAGGTTTAAGCTACTTCTGAAAAATTACTTTCGTTTAACGAAGATGTTTACCATGATGTGGTAGCTGGGTATCGATTAAAATATGATGATAGATGTAATTAACAAGTTCAGATGTAGACCTCGAAAATATTTACCATAATCTTTACTGATCTAATGCTCTAGGAAAAATATAAACCATTCCAGTGTGGTTTTGCAATCTAAGTAAATTGGCACTTGCATGGAATTGTCAAGAGCAACACAGGAAATTCAAATTTTAAGAAATGATAGTGTCACTTTTATTATGCTGTGATGAATATACATTAGCCACGAGCTTTTCTTAATGCGTTAGTTACATTCTGAATGTGAAAGAGTTGTGTTTGTATATGTGGTTGTATTTTCATCTGCACCCGTGTATGCCCACACACGTATATATTCATACTGCCTCAAAGTATTGGGGAAGATGGGGCGGATTCCGGAGAGGAAAATGTTTTAACATTACTGACAGCAAAGCATAAATCCTTCATTAACCTCTTCATTGGTATTAAATATAAATATTTTGCTTTCTGCTAAAACATGGATTTACACTTGGGAATAAGTTCTTGAATGTGAAGAAATCCTGATTATTAATTCAAAGGCCCCTTGCAATCTGTATAATGTTTTTGGTTTACCTTTTTTACTGGTCAAGTTTTCCTGCATGTGTTGTTTTCCCACATCAAAATGCAAACACCTGTAAGTCTGGCAGAAGTGTGTTGTAATGCCGTGATAACTGCTCTGTGTGAAAACATCAGTTACGAATCCTGTGGAGTTTTTCGTCTGCTGAGGGTTAAATATATGATATCAGCATTGCGTTACACCCAAACATAAACAGCTCAGAGGCCAAGTATTAAGCAGATGCCTCAAGTTGGAAGAATGATGCAGGAGTAATAAACATTTATAAAAATTAGTGAGGTTTAGTGGGGAAAAAAAAATAAGATCCACTGAATACTAATTCAGTCACTTTATCACTGAAATTGCTGCTGATGGGCCTTTGATGATTTTTCTCTTTGAAACTGTTCATTCTCCCTGTTCCATGTGTCCGCTTTAATAAATATAGAGTGCTTTATGGTAATTTAAGGTCGAACGATTTATTGGAATTTCCTGAATAAATGAATTAGGCTTGCACATGCGGTATCTAAAATATGGGCATGAGGTACAAGATGGATATGTCTAGTCGTAAAGAGACCAGGAACACTGGCTCTTGATTTGATCAAGAGCCGATGACCATCTAAACAGAAATAGAAACTGATACTTTGAAGACATTTTTGTGAGTTGCAATGTCAGATTCTAAAAAGAGTAAAAACATGGGAACCTGTGCAGAGTAAGCTTGCTAAGGCAGGATAAAATATACACAGGTTGCCGTTTAAAATCTCCTAGAAATACATGCAATACTCCATTCAAAGCAGTTGGAGTGATCAGAAGGAGAACGTGTGTGATCAACGCTGCCTCTGT